ATATGTTTANTAAAAATTTAATTTTATTATATTTATGCACAATACATATCATTTTCTATGTTTATAAATATTAGAATACACATTTAAATATTAAGATCGATTAGAAAAATATATTTTAATATTTAATCTCACGCTTGGCGTGGGTCAAAATCTATTAGTCAAATTAAATAAAAACACATTTAGTTTTGTATTGAAATGTGAGAAAATCATCTAATTTAAAATAAAAAAGTTCTCTAGAAAATCATCTAATTTACGATTAAATATGGTAGTTTGTAAAGCAACGTAGACTTTTTGTAATTGGTGTATCAAAATACTTAATGGTGAACAACACATATAGATATATTTTGAAAAGTTTAACCATATAGATAGCCAGACTCGTCGTATTTTAGTGGATATTCAATTTTAGTATGTATATCTAATAGTTCATCTTGAATTTGAAAAAACCTCAAGCTAAAGAAAAAAGTACTGTAATTTTGTATATATATTCTCTAAATATGCTATTAATTTATAACCATAATCAGTTTTTTTAATTCTTAGAAAGCTGCAAGCTGATGTTAATATGTTTGGACTCATCACCCACCTTTTGATCAAATGTTGAATATCTATACCTTATTCAAATACTGTTTCTGAAAAATCATTAGTGTACATAACTTAAAGAACATAAAAATATAGATCATATAACAATGCAAAACACATGTGGAAAGTTTTTAGAAACTATCACATGAAGAAAATGAATATAATATTATATCTATAATTTCTATATAAAAAAATTGTGAAATGATATTCTAAATCAACGCTAATTTCCTTTATGCGTATACGTGTTCGTATATGTCTAAATTATCAATAAATTTTTCCTTTATACCTATACGTGTTCGTATATATGTCTATCAGTAAATTTGAGATAACCAAACCCCAAATTATCAATAATTTTTTTTGTATGCGTATACGTGTCCGTATATATCCAAATGCAAAATTTCGTATACGTGTTCGCTAATTTCCGTATCCAAATGCAAAATTTCGAAAATACTTAATATCAAAACGGATAAAGAAAGACATGTCATGTACATTTGTGTAACAAACCAAGTATTTTAGATATTTCAGTAAAACGTATTAAACATGTCATGTCCAACTATGTAATTAGCATTCTCATATGTCAATGCAATGTGGACACTTTGCAGCGATTAATATTGCACTATCACACACATAAATGCAATATAAAGCTTGAGAAATCAAAGTCAAACACATTTTAGTCTGGATAGCTCAATTCAATATACTATCGATAACCAAACCGGATAAAAAAAATTATAATTATCGAAAAAAAAAATTGAGTTAAAAAAAATGGTTTATGGTGATGATAGGAAAAAGATTGTAAACGGAAAAAAATTGATATTCTTTGTAATGAAAAATAAGAACACTA